GTAAATATATCTCTAGTTTTTTTAAAAATTTTGTCTTTTTTTAAGGCAGAATAAAAGCCTCTCATTTACAGGCATGGTCAATGAAAGAAGAAGTAAGTTTAATTCTAATGAATAAGGTTTCATTTTATCAACAGGGAAATATTCTTAGGCTAACTAAGAAACTCATGTTAAAATGTTTTAGGTTATAAACACATTTAAATATTCTGGAAACGTTTATCTATCTAAAGTAATCTAGAAGAAAGGCGAACAGTGCTCAACGAACTGTTGTTTATAAATGTTGAATTTAAAAGGGAGGATGATCTGAACTCATCTTTTAATTTTTATTATTTCGTGGATTCTTCTCAACTGATGACAACCTAAAAAATACCAAAATTACAAATTATATTAAAGATGTGAACATACTTTCTGTTTTTACAATGATAAGGAGTAATTGATTTGAACTGAGATTAACATTGGTATGGCGATTTACCTGAACTTCTAAATGCTTCTGTCCTTTGAGGTAAAAAAAGGGATTGGTGAGAACACTGTTTGATCGTACAAAGAAGCTTTGTTCAGGAGGAAAAAAGTCGAGGAAGAACTATCAACTGTTGAAAAATGCTTCAGTGATAATGGTTACCCACAGAAGTTCATCGACAAATATGGAAAACGTAGTGTTGACATGGTGAAGTAAAACACTGTACAGAAAACGCCCATCTTTCTACAGCTTCCCTTCAAAGGTGACGATACTGCTAGTAGAATTAGATGCAAACTGAATGCCGCTCTGAAAAGAACACATCCAGCTGCCAAACTTGTAGGTGTTTTCAAACGACCTGTTAGTTGTTTAAGACAGTCAAACGTGGGTAAACTCCCACCTCATGTTACCTGCAGTTGCTTCTACAAATTTATTTGCACGTGCCGTAGCACATACATTGGAAGAACAGAGAGAAGAGTTATTGTTCACATCGCTGAACACATATCAAAAGACCTTGGACTAAAGAACCTACAAGCAATAAACACTGCGATTGCTCGGCATTTACAAGATACTGCCCATGTTGTGGAAAACCTGAAGTCGTTCAAAATAATCAACAGACAAAAGAAACCTTACCTGCCTCGGTTCACTGAGGCAATCACCATCAAACGGTTAAAACCAAATCTATATACGCAGAAAGAGACAATGAGACTCATCCTACACCCTCCGCCTTTTTGTATATTTTGTAAAAACCTGTCTTTTTGTGGTTACGTAACCTATTGCTTTCTATACTCTTTCTAGTTAAACTTTATTTCTACCCACAAAACGTCTGTCGAACTCTGTCTGTCCTTTTGTTTGCAAGCTTTGTCATGCAGTTCTTCTATAAATGGTCGATCCATCTCACTCTTAATTATTCAACAACCTACATCATTCCTGACCAATGTTATTCTCAGTTCCAATCAATTACTCCTTATCGCTGTAAAAAAGAAGTATGTTCAGATCTTTAATAATTATTTTATAATTTTGGTACTGTTCAGGTTGTATGCATCCGGGTGAGAAGAATCCACGAAATAATAAAAATACAAACATGAGCACAGATTATCTTGGCACATTTGTCGTTCTTGCTTTATTCAAATTTATTAAAGGGAGTATATCAGTGGAGATTCTAATGAATCGCTTATTCAGTTCACTGGAGAGAAAAGCATTCTTCTTACCCGAACTACGGGTCAATTTCTACTTTCGGTAAGTGATCGATAAGTATGTAAAGAACAAACAATCGCTCTGGGATACTCCAGTGTATGTTTCTATTTAACGCACAAGGCACACACCTTTCAGCTGCATATGTGAGCACTATCCGGCATGGTTTTCAGTGATAATAGTGATCACTCCCTAAACACTTGATGAACTCGAACCACACAGCTTCAAGGCTAAAGTGAATGGTACAACAACTCTCATGTTCTGACATTTGTTTATGATGGAGGCGCCAACGACTCACCAATATAATCCTGAATATTACTGGCTCTTATTCTTGTACAACCTGAAACTTTTTCCTTCTAGTACGCTTCCTTTTTAGTAAGTAACATTAAGATAGAAGCAAGTGGAAATACTCATGAATTGGAAAGTCAGGAAGGACGCCTACCAACGTTAGATTGCAGCATAAAGAGGAAAAAAATAGTGGGTTGAACAGTAGTGCTTACGGTAAGTCCACACAATCAAATCGATATTTGAATTTTGGATCATGCCATGTTATGTGTGTAAAAGTAGCATCAGTGATATGTTTAAGTAATAGGGCAGAAAAAGCTTAAGTGTACCATGAAAAATGTAAGACATAAAGTGAGGCGTATAAAAAGAGCTTTAAACCTGAAGAATTACCCTGATATTTTAATCACGAAGTATGTAGGAAAATGTAAAAATAAAATTAGCAATAGTAACAATAATGGTAGTAATAGTGATCGTAATAATAATAACGACAACATCATCAATAAGGAATTTAAATCATCATTACTACTTCCATGCAAAAAGGAACTTCAGAAAGCCTTCTTAGAATTCTTGATGATGCAAGAATAAAAGTGACATTTGAATCACTTAGAAACAACTTTTTTCGGCTAATCGATTCTGTAGAACCTACTAGACAAAAATAGTTAGTTTATTTAATACCCTTTGTAATGAATGTCAAGTCAAATACATAGGTCAAAATAGTAGAATTGGCTCAGTGAGACAAGCGGAACACAAAACCCAGCAAAATCTTGATCGGTTAATCCTAAAGAGATAAGAAATTTTGAGGATAGTTCAGCTGTAGCACTATATGCAACTCTACACAACCATACAACAGGGCGGGATAAGGTGAGAGTCTTAAAATTTGAAATATAACCGGTTGGAAGGAGAGAGTGATAACGGAATCGAATCAACTGAAAACACGTGTAACAGAAGTGAATCAACACACCTCCAACCGGCAATTTGGAAAATTCGACCACTCCTACGACGAATTGCAGGAAATCAAGAAAACTGTTATACAAAAGTTTCGAAGTTGTGTAATTGTAATTGATGCTATGATTATGAACAATAAATTGTGTTTGAAACGTCATCCAGCAAATAATACTGTTTCATTGTGCGATGTATCTAATAATCAAATCAATATGTAATTGCATACTAAGACAGTGCCCAAGTGTTACATATATAGTGGGTAATTCATTATGATCACTATGGCTTGTTCTTTATGTATATTTCACTAGGCTTTTATCCCACCCAGTTCATACTTACCAAGCGGACTTACTCAACCAATTCACTTCTCACCGAATAACAATTTCTGTCTTATAAGATTTTAAACACACGTAATATGTTGTGAACGGGGTTACATGAAAAAAAGGAGATAAGGAATTTACGCACACACTAAAGTGAGCCATCAGTGGTTTAAAAAAACAAGATGCTGAAATTTGCATATTGTCCGGATGTTAATATAGTTCTGATCAACTTAATAAACGGATCTATGATTAGATTGTTTGAGACAATTGGCAGCAGGCCTTGAGTGACCTATAAGGTGTAAGAATAGAACTTTTGCAATGTGATAGAGTATAACTCTATTGTGAATAAAATTTATTTTGATAAAGTCTAAAAGTGTTATACAGTAATATTAGCTGACGATCACGTTTCAAGCACCTCAATTTATTACCGCTCATAATCATACCAGGACACTACTCACACAACTTTCCAACTTCGTTTATATAATTCCATCATTATTTTTCAATGCTTGACTTGATTAGTAGTAGTATTTTCCATATTTCCGGTATGAGTGATGAGTTATTCCTATTGCACGTCTTGGATGTAGATTCTATGATCAAAGATTCAGTAATCAACCTCTCTGTCTCTCGACCTACCTATATTACTTCTTACATTTTTAACCCTCTCCCACCCTATTGTGTGTTTGTGTGTTAATGCATGCAGTGCAATCGCTGAGCTTTTTTCTCAATCACTTATCCTCTCGGGGTAAACCATTCTTACTTTAGCTAAATTCTTATGTTCCGACAATCTGACTACCCCTGACCTACTAATTTGCCCTATGTAGTTGAAGTCACCCACAGTCATTGCAGGGTATTTTGTGAATTGTATTATTTTGTTTAGTTGGATCCACCGTATCCTTTAACCTACAGAGCTTTTCCTATCTGAGTGAGTTTATAGGTTTGAATGCCACTCGAACTCCTGCTTTATAAAGAATCCTACCACATAGGGTCTCAGATATCCCATCCTTCTTTGATAAAACTTCTATAGATGCCTTATATTCTTGTGCTTGTTGACACTCATCAGTCAATAAGAGGTATCTCTATTATTCTAAATTAACTCATGTCGCTCCTGGGATTTGAACCTGCACCACCTATTTCTGCAGTCAGAGATGTTGATTTGAAACCCGTAACTAGTGTTTTGCGTCTATTCCTTGGTACTAGTGCAGACTGAATTCTGTCAGTCAGGTTGTAATGTGGCCACCATTCTAGGTAGCTCGCCATCACTGTGCACATTGATTTGATGATATTAGATAGTTGGAGGCAATCGGCAGGAAGCCTTGGACCTAGGTTTTTAACATGAAGAATCTCCCTGTCAGAGTTTACAGTACTTCGTGTGGATTTAGATAGCATAATAACACTAAGCATAAATCGTCCACGGAATTTAGGCCATTTGGAGTCTTCTTGTTGGTCCAGTGTATTTTTTTCCTGTTTCTCGCCACGTGTGGTGTGTCTCCAGTCCACCACATTGGAGGACACCATTAGGTAGCCATCTCTTACTTCTGTCTTTACCTTAAAGACTTCTCTTAGGTTTCTCTTTGCTGATCATTTGTTATGCGGCACTGACATAAGTCTTTCAAAAAAAGTTGTATTACTTGTAGGCTACTCTCTTGTTATTGTATTACATTTAAATCTACGGACAGTTTAATAAAATAATCACATAACGATTTTGTCTTCACCATTTAAAAAACACAGTCAAATTTCAGTATTAGACCACTAGTTATCAACATGAGTTCTATTCATTCATATTATTTATAAATAAAATTGTCTTGAATTACCCATTGGTCCTTGTGGTCCTGGAGGTCCAGGTCTGCCAGGTTCTCCTGGAGGTCCTACAAATGAGCAGAGCAAAGTAAAAATATCCCATAGGTTATATTAATAAAAACTCCAATTAGTCTATTCGAAATAGTTTGTAATGAATGCACATCTTATACGAACATAAGTTACACAACATCAATATAATGAAGAATTATATATGTATGTTACGACAATAAATCACAAATTTGTAGAAGTTAAAATTCATGGGCCATTGAATCAAGTCCCTGTGGCTAAACGGTATATGAGATAGCCCTGTAACCGGAAGATTTTGGTTTCTAAACCCATCTAATGTGGACTTTGAAAAACTTTTTGAAGGCCGAAATGATTACTACTATATGTGAATTACACTACACATTATCATTGAGTTACTAGGTTTCTGAATATCTTTAGGGACAGGACTAGACATTTTTCGATCTGGGGACTGAGTAGGTTCAGAAAAGCATGATGGTGTTTCAATAATCCTTAATCAGTCCGGAATTCGACTGCACTCAACATCAAGAACAAAATTCAGATTTCCTACACTAATGTCAAGTTAGCCAGTATTTCAACTAGGCTGATTCAGACTTCCATCAACAGCGATCCCTCTTCACTTCATACTGAAGATCAGATGTCCAGAAACGATAAGAGACGAGGAGCTCTGGGAGGCAACGAACTAATCAACCAGCTAATGCTCAGTAAATGCGCAAAAGAAAATAGAGACCACAGCTCGAATGAAACCCGAACGGGAAATGGCGTAGGTCCAATAGTGATATGAGGGAGATCTTGTTAGAAGTAGATGAAAGCTTTTGGGTAATCGTGAAGCTACCTTAAGACAAGTGCTGAAAACATGATGAAATAGAGATGTGTTGTTGAAGTCCTATGTTCAACTTCAAACTTATCACACATATTTATGTAATTATTAACAGAGTATTAAAGGTCAAAGGGGAATGAGTGTTTGATCAGAATTTCGATTTACAGACATAATTTACAGATAAGAGATAAGATTAAAAATACGGGGGATATTAGAACCTGATAACGTTTTATATTTTAGGTTTAAAGGCATTGTTAAAGCCTACTTTACGACAAGTCTCTGTGACGTACTTTACGATATCTATTTCAGTATCTACCAATTAGAAATATGTTTTGCAGCTCTAACCTACAGAGATGGATTAAAGACCCATGTTCGCTGATAAATACAGTGGGATCTCATATCTTCTATTACACAGTCTTTTCCATGTCACTTTCGAGCTCACACCAAACTCGTATCCCTTTCCGGTCCTATTCAGGGTTTTGGTGTTTGATGTCATTCACCGGTCTCCTCATCATGTATACAATTCATCTCCATTTTCTTTGATATTCTTGGCAAGCAATAGATTCTTAGTCGGTTCTTTCTAAGAGTTGTTCGCTGCTGGTCTCTTCAGGCCATCTAGCGCTTCTGGTGACACACGAAAAGCCGTTGAATGACACTCGTTTTAAAAATCCAAATTTTCTTCTTCGCACTTAGTGCCGTAGATTCCGAGACTGATTAGAGAACGACGAATGTCTACTTTGCCATTCCAATCCTGGCTAACTTTAATATCCTCACGCGTAGCGACTGCCTGTAATTGAAACGAAGCTGCCAAACAAAATTATTTTATTCAGGTATTGGTTTGTAGGGATTTGGTTGATTGGTTACAGGATTTCATCATGAGCTGACATTGGTTAGAGAACCATTGGAAAACCTTTTATATCAGTCTTTAGACATCGTCGAAGTGCCTATATGAGGAACCAACATATTTCAATCGAACATGATCATTCAAAGGGAAATGAAAAATTTACCACTACTACACACACAGCATATTCCACTGGTTTCGATCAAACAGTTTTTATCTAATTTACTGTTGTTGTTGTTTTTTGTAGGCCAAATAATATGCTCCATTATGATTGCTGTCATTTCGCCTAATTGAGATAAACTAATTTATGCCTGTTCTTCTTTGTCTTCTTCTTCTTCTTGTCTTTAAGGTCGTAAACATCAAATTCACCTCATTTAACACTGTTTATAAATCGAACAGTTTATACATATATGGAATGCAATAGTAAATCTTGCAGGCGTAATACAACCAAATGCCTGTCAGTTAACATTCTAGCATAGCATGCTAACAAGTATTCGATAAGGTTAAGTGTTGTTTTTATTTCCAAGCATATTCTTTAGCAAATTTTACTTCATTCGGAGTGTTCTCTCTGCCTCTTTCTTTGTCTCTCCACCTCTCTGTGTAGTTCTACTTTCTCCAACTATTTTTTTTCTGTTTTTCAACCATTTCTTAATTCCACTTTTATTTCCTTATTTTTTATCTTATTTTGCATAAATAAAATTTATCTTATCCAGTTAACTTAATTTTCTACAGTACTTTGGAAGGGATTCAACATTCTGGAGTATTTCTTCCTTGCTTTTTGCTATTCTCTCCCTCTCTCTTAACCCCACCCCCGCCATCTGCCTTAATTTCATTTTCTTTCTTTCATTCTTTCTTGAGTAGTTGAGTTGTCTTTCAATAAGCGTCCTTTCCCCTGTTTACTGGTGAATGCGCGAATGCACAAACGCACACACACACACACACAAAGATATTCGTGGAAGAGATAGAAACAAATTTCTAAGATTTTCTGGGACTCTTTAGTTAGTAAATAAGTAAGTAAGTAGTTCAAGTACTTGCTTGTTGTAGATAAGTGGATTTATCTCTAAACAGAACTTAATATAGTTTTTTTGCTTAAATAATAAAGATGTTTATTTTGTTTGTTTTTTGTTATTCTGGTGTTTTCCCTTCAACTGATTGTTTTATCCCACCAACCGACGCATCCACGGGCCCCATTCGACTGCCCATCCACGGTCTTCTTTTTGAATGAATAATATGTGAGCACCTCGTTTGTCATTGTGTTTCTCAACATCTCATTTTGAAAAATGCTTCGGATTGTACCCCTTATACAATGAATGCCAATTATACTGTAATAATTTCGGTAAACACTACAAGGTAAAAATAATTGAACGATATATTCACATACACTTGGCCATCAATGTTTGATTTAATTATTTGCCTTATGTTATGTTTTGTTGCTGTGTTTTTGACATACGTAGTAGATACTTGATTAGTCAATTGGGCATAGTAGAATTTGAGTGATGAGGACATATATACAACTGTAGTTAGATTAAGATCCCTTGAGCTACACGCATATATGTATAAATATATATGATGTTTGAAATAATAGAGAAGATTTGTAGTTCAGGTGGATGATTTGCAGTTAGTAGTGTTCTCTGAGCTGGTCGGTTTAGTTGTGGAGCTTTCGTCGTCCTTCTAATGGACAAGATCTTCAGCTCATTGCGAGATTTAGCATAAAGTGAAATGATTTAAATTTTTCATGAGTGATAGAATTGTGTCTCCCGGTAACCATCTTTACATATGTATTGATCATTTTTATTGTTGACTTGGGTTTTAAATTTTTTGGTCACATGATTTACTTTTTATTGGTTTGAGTACCATGCTTCTAGGAATTCCCTGGCACTTTTGGTGTTTTCTCTGTTTAAAATTTCGACATTATCTCAGTCGTCAAACTGATGTTCATAATTATCGATATGCAGTGATATGAAAGAATATATATATCATGTCTTTTCACAGCTGATTTGTGTTCCTGGATTCTAATTCCAAGGGGATGCCCACTTTGGCCAATGTAATGTAATGGTGTTAATTTTATCTACTTTTTCTGTTTGATTTTTCGGTTTGCACAATGTCGAATTAAGTGATTGCGCTGGCAATATCTATTTCAAACGGATTCAATATTCTAGCTGTTATTTCAGAGATATTTTTTATAAATGGTAGGATGAATTTTTTTGTGTTCTTTGATGATGGTTCCTTGTTAATGTTGTAATTCAATTTTGAATACATTTTGGTGAAATTTTGCGGATATGCATTCTTTTTGAAGACCGTTTGTGGGTATTTTTCTTCCAATCTTTTCAACGCTGGAGTGCTATGGTGTGTTTGAATTCTTTTAAACAAAGTCTCCTCACAGTTCATTTTGTGAGTAATTGGATTATTGCTAGCGCTGTAGAAATTGTCCAGAAGGACGACGAAAGCTCCGTGACTAAACCAATCAGCTCAGAGAACACTAATAACTGCATTTATGATGTTTCGCAATACACTGAGACTGAAAATACACATGCCAAGTTTGTTACAGATTCGATGATGACGACTGACGCTTGATTACACCAACGACACTGTCAGCCAGCTACCTGTTTCTCCAGCCCTCAATACTTAGACGAGAAGCCACAACGATGTGAGCTTAAAAGTATATTTTGTGCTATACCCCTAAGGATATGTCAATTAGTCTGTAATCATAATCAATAAAATATTGGGCGTCACTTTCGTGGTTGAAATTCTGATTGGTTTGTTTTGAGTCTTGACACTGACCACCATATCAATATATACATATATAAGAATACATATCAAGAGTTTTATTTCAAAAGCTCATGCAATTTTCCTCACCATTAAAATTCAATAAGTGTGTGCGGATGGCTCACAAATCACCTTACTCACAATTAGCTATTTTCTGAGAAGCAGATATTTTCCTTAATCACGTAAACTTTTGTATTGCGAAAATCTTTCAAGTTAATTTCATCACAGAACAAATTTACTTGATAAAACACACAGCTATGCAGTTTATATCAGATGATATAAGGTAGCTGGCAGGAAGCCTCGAATCTAGATTTCGTGTTATTTGACACTGATCACTCTGCAGGGTAAATCTGCAACCTTGAAGGATTTCATGCCTTTTCCAAGATTCGAATCATTTATTTGTAATCCAGCAACTAGTCTAATTTCTGAAGAGAATGCGGTGATGCTATATCCAGAGTGGCGGTGAATTATATAAATCCACAATTCCCGTTATTCATTCCCATTGATGTTAGGAGTCAACGAGGTAATGTATTTAAAGCATACGTACACTTCCCATGATCACGGAGATACTATGCAGAATATATCAAAATCGTAGAATAATCAAACCCCACACGAAAGTGAATTAACTAACACTGCAAGGCAAACAAACTGTAGTACGCATCTGGATATTCATCCACATGTTGATCACTATCTATACAGCGCTAATAAATCTGGCTATCTAAGATGTAATGAAAGTATTCTGATAGTTCACACTGACTCATTCTGCTCCTACATGCTTCATTCAACATTTTTATGGATTGGTTCACAGTCATTCTGGTTCCTGACCGGAACGAATAAAAAATCCACGGTTGCTGATTCATTAACACCTATTTGCATATTTAAATGGATACTAACATTTGTCGTGAGCCTCTTGCAGATGATATTGCTGAAAACATTGTTGTCAGTAAAATAACTAACGTTTTAAAAGCCATTCTTATACTTTTATGAATAGCCCACCATATTGACTAAATGTAACGCAACAAATTCAAACAATAATGGTTCCTAGAATTACATCATGTTAATTGTTTTAACCTATGCAAAGTGTGCTTACTGACATTATCCCATTACCTTTCCTTATATATTTATATATATTACTTATTGATGATGCCTGTAAACTGGCGTCCCTCATGTACATAAAATGAGACTTTACCACTGAGCTATTGGGGCTTGCGAATAACCTCCTGTAGGACTGTATGGGTATGGTTGGAATAACTCAGCGGTGACGTCTCTGACTGCAGCACTGGATTACATGAATTGAAAACTTAGGAGGGATATGAGCTCTTTAAGTGTTTCAGATTCACCCTGCAGACTGGTAAGTGCCAAGTAGCACGAAACCTAGGTCAAGTTAAGGCTTCCTACCGATTGCTTCCAACCATCTAATATTAACAATTCAAAGTGTACAGTGATGGTGAGCCACCTAGAATGGTGGCCACATTGTTATCTTGACTGGTAGAACTCAATCCACACAAAATAAAGGATTAGAAATATCAGACCAGCTACCTACTAGTGTCCAATCAATGTACGATTATAGCCTTTTGAGCACAATTTATTGCTGCCCATTATACTATCAAGGTATTCACTCAGCGTTCTTACTTTGTTTATAAAGTCCCAATATTTATCTTTTGATTTTATTAACAATAACATTAAGAGTATCTGTTTAATTGGCATTGAGGCATCCCTGTTACACATGTTCATTGAATCAAAACGGTTGAGTTCATCTTATATTAGGCAAATTATCTAGTCAAACATAATTATTCACTAATCAGGCTTCGTTTCGTTGCATACGCCTTAAACCTAGCTACCAGAAAGCCACAGTGTGGAACTACGTAGTACTGAGAGTTCTGGCACATGGATGATCATGTACTTCAGTGATTCAGTAGATGTTTTGCAAAATCGTGTCTGTGGTTCAGGTTCGATTCCCAGTCTACGCGCTCCTGCACCTCCATTAGACAGTAGTAAGACTAGTCAAGAAGGAGGCATGAGCATCTTGTTAACATCCTCCCCCCATAAAAAAATGAACAGCACTGCTACTGAAACTCGAGCTTGAAGCTCTGCATCCCACTCGGAACTCAAACCAACCCGGATTTCTTACCCGATTCATTTGTGAGTACATAGTGCTGTGTAGTTTCACACTAGGAAAGCAAAACAGATGTTCAATGCATTCTGCTTTCCAACAGTCCCCTGACTGATGTCATTTAGTGACATTTAAAATCATCTGTCATTGTTTGTCACCTCAAACACTGACAGCCTTATACTGAAATAGGAAGGAAAATAAGTCTATTTGAAAAATTTTCTTTCTTTATTCGTCTAAGTCAATTAGCAGGGAGGGCATTCAACTCACTAACTGACTAACTAACTGACTAACCTATTGAAAAAGATGCAAAATAAATTTATTCTTCACAATCCTTCTCAACTTTTCTAAACTTATTAACATAAATTATATACACATACACTGGTTTAATTGAATTACAATGCCTCATGTTTATCTGTATTATATATCCAAAGCAATTTATCTTTTTTATGTCAATTTTAATATTGATAAAGAGGGATGGATAAAATGAATAAATAAACACGGTGAACTTTTCACCTGATTCCGATTTATTATCGAAATTTTTACGCCCAAGAGAATTGTCAGAATTTTTTTATACTAATATGTAGGATGGCTCAGAGACTCAGTGCGTCAGGAAAAACATTTCCAACAGGACAGTGTATACTTTCATCAACCAGTGCCTCCATATTTCCATAATGGAGATGGAAAGGATACGCAATAAGGAGCTCCGGCGATCAGTTAATCAAAAACCTGTAGCCTGAAACATATCCAGAAAAAAATGGAGATAGAATAGACATAATACTCTTACGATATCTCTGAATGACGCTGTAGGTTATGCAAGCCCTAGAGTGAAGCCGGAATGGACATTAATCTAAGGATGAGATTTCGAAGGCAGCAAAAACAATTAAGCCCTATGTTCCACATGCAAGCTGGAAAACTTGGAAGTACTGGACGGGTGTTTCACTCTAGTTTGGGATTCTTCAGATTACTCACCTGCTGAGGTTCGAATCCAGAACCTGGTTACAAGGTGATCTCGTAAACCATTAAGCCATTGGGACATATTCCAATGGCCAGCCCATAAATTTTAACTTCTGCCAATTCATGACACAGTGAGACCACTAGCAAATGTCATCCATGGCGAGTATTTGTCTTCACGCCCAACCTGTTGTACCCTACTGGTCATGACTTCCCACTAGAACCCAGGTAACTACCTACTTGTACAGGTCCAGTCACTAGTGAGCACCACATTGTAATCCAAGTGTTGGTGTGCAAGGATTTGGTTATTTTCAGGATTTTATCATGAAATAATAATACTGTGAGTGGTAAGTAGACATTTATAATATTGGTCTTTAGTGAGGCACAAAACCTCTGAGAGATAAAGCTCACTTGCTGCTGTTCAACGATCAGTTGAAGAAAGTTTTTGTTTGACATGTACGTGACCTGTTGTACGCTATTTACTTGTTAATCTATATGGTTATATTAGATTATTACTATTCCCCTGAGTTCCAAGTGGAACAGAGGGATTCAACAATACATCTGCACTTTGTCCTGTTCTCCGTGATTCTCCTCAGTTGGCTCCACAATCGCTCATAGGCTTTCATTTCCTCCCCACACAATCTCCTCCGTGTCTTCTTCGGATCCACGCAGAAATGGTAATTTTCCATTCACCTGCCATTCTAGCTATGGCCTGTCACTCAGTGACATTCGACAGTCTCCTTATGGTTTGTCCGATCCATCTACATTTTCCTCGGCACACCGTATCAGCAATAGATTCCTGATTGATACTTTCTCAGAGTTTCTTGCCTCTAATACTTCCTGAACAGCACTCTGATCTTCAGTATGGAGTCAACAAAGGCAGCCGTTTAATGAACGTCAGCAGTAGCCTCTTAGAAATGCATTTCATGATGTGGACGGTAAGTTTCTGACCCTTATAAAGGCACCAAATGGCTTAATATTGGTGCTGAATATCCTAATATTGTTCCTTGTGCACATTGGGTGCAGAAGACTTACGAAATGATTTCAGAGTGATGGAAGTCTGTCTCGCCTGTCCGATTCTGTCTTGTTTTGAAATCCTCATCCGTGCTAGTTTTTTGTAGTTGAATCAATTCTACCTTGATAAGTGAAGCATGTGATCTCTTTCAAATTTTTTTCCGTTGATAGTGATCTGTGCTTGTTTCTGTTGGAGGATTGGTCATCTTCATCACCTCTGTCTTCTCTACGTTTACTGAAAGTCCTGTCCTTGCTGTTCCTTTTGTCAACTTGGTTTTCTCCTGTTAATCTTTGAGTTTGTGTGACATTAGGCATCAGTCATTTACGAAACCCAGATCTGTTGGAATTTTCTTATCGGTTCAAAATATTTCTGTCTTCTCAATCCTCTCGCAAAATCCAGTACATTACACTTAGGAATATCATCAGTGATATTAGTCAGTCCGTTTTTGTCTTTCTCCTGTCTTCATTTCAAAGTCTTCACTAGGTTTTCCATTGTGAATCACTTGATATATGGCGTCGTCATATAGCCACCTACTAATTGAGGTTTGTCCACTCCATAGTACGCATGAAGTTTTCAAACTAATTTGTGGTCAACGATGTCAAAAGTGTTTCTGAAGTCGATAAAGTTGACGTATAGATTTGACTTCCACTCCTTACTCTGAACTTCACATAGACAGTTTAAACAAAGAAACTAACTCTGGAAGTATCTGAAAGTATCTGAAAGTATCGTGATCTACAAAGTCAAAGTTAAACTCGACGGTGGAAAGGTAAACTGGGGTCGCGCTATGTGGTGAATTGGCAGAAGTTAGAATTCATGGGCCATTAGATCGGGTCCCAGTGGCTTAATGGTATACGAGCTCGCCTTGTAACCAGAAGGTCTTGGGTTCGAATCCCGGTGGGTGCGTACTAATGGAGAGTCCGAAACTCGGACAAAACAGCTGTCCAGAACTTCCAGGTTTTCCAGTGGTTCTCTAACTAATGTCAGCTCATGATGAAATCCCGTAACCAATCAAATCCCTACAAACCAACACTTGAAACTACTATTTATTCTAAATGTATGGATTACTAACCTGGAGGTCCTGGTTTGCCTTCGTAGAATTTCATTTCATTACAATCAATTGATAGACCACGACAGACTTTTTGAAACATTTCAATCTATGGAAAAAGAAATATAGAGAATAATATACACATATAGATGTTTTCTTAAGTGAAAAGACTTTTTTTACTTTTCATGTGACTTTTGAAATACATTGGAAACCATTCCCTGAAAATTTTTAAAAAAAATTTTTGTGGCTTTTTGAAAAATGAGACATAATAACTTATGATTACTCGTTTTTGATTCAGTTTGATTTTTCCCGTTGGTTATATGAAATAATAATCAGTAGCAACTGATGCTTATGGCACAAGTGGTCTGTTGGATAACGCCTAGACGTTAAAAACGACTGGTTCAGGGTCCGAGTCTCACTGAGAAAAAACCATCACTTACTGAGGAATACAGCTGCATCCAGCTGTGACGAAATCCAGGACGAAATGCCCATCCTGGATTTCACTGCTAATCATCACTGAAATATTATGGACCATCTAAATCACTTATATAACCACACAGAAAACGGATGTCAATTGTGGTGGTAGACAACGTAATTTACTCGAACAAAAACAGAATTAAATTGTGATATAACAATATCGCATCAGATTAGACACTTAGACTGTGGTCGAGATAAAGAAAGTACAGCTGACTGAGGTTAAGAAGACAGGGCAAAGTTCGAGAAAAGAATATTCACTTGGATAAATTGCTCTTCAGTCTCTACAAATATATATACATATATAGATTTACATATTTATATGCATAGGATATTCTAGAATTGTTGTCGTTAACAGTTACTGAGTGAAGCAGATACCTACAGAAATTCACCAAAAAGAATATGGATCTAAAGCCGAAACAAATCAAAGTTTCGAAAAGAGCCGTGTTCATGCAACTTCACTTCCTTGGTTACAACATCAGTAAATAATAAGACATCGCTTAAGGAATGCGGCAATAAAGTGAACACCACGTTCCTTGATGAAGTATGCTGTCTCTTCAAAAACACCTCTATTTTACGTTTGAAAGTTAAAAGTTTACAAACTTATCTTACCTCTTCTATGTGAATCTATCAAATTGACTGCTTCCATGGAGCTAGGGAGTGGAATCAGGTGTATTCGTCGTCGGATTTCCAAACACAATCCTATGTACTTAAGCAAGGGAAAATCTAGGTCCAGTCCTAGTCACAAGGATAGCATTGACCATTTTTCCGCAATCATAGGTCTTGTATCGAATAAATTACAAAACGCTATGAAATATCAACCACTGCAAACAGTGGAAGCTATTGCAGTTCATTTAACATCAGTGGAACCTTATGTACCGTAGCCTGCTGTGGAACCTACACTTAAGCAGTACGCACTCACCGGGGCTCGAACACAGGACCCACTGGTTACAAGGCGAGCTAGCTCGTAGACCATTAAGCCAGAAGGTCCTGCGTTCCATCCCCGGTGAAAGCCTGCCGCAGAAGAGTCTCAAACTAGGACGAAACAGCTGCTCAGCACTCCCAGGTTTTCTATTGGTTTTCCAAATCATGTTAGCTCATAATGAAATCTTCCAACCAATCAAACAAAATCCCTACACAAACCAGTACTTGAGAACCTACATTTCCTTCATTACTGTATTGTTAATCCTTACTTACCTGATATTCGGTTTAATGTTATGTTGAATTGCATTGTGACTAACAAATCCTTCCCAACTATAATCTGTCGATATTGGTAACTATTAGATGGTTGCCACTCACCAGTTGGCAAGGTGTATACGGAACCCTGAAGGAACTCATGTCGCCTCTGAGATTTGAAGCCGCTTTACCCAGTGTCATCCGCAGTCAGAGACGTTACTACTGGGCAATTTAGGCTCGCGATTAACCATTCTAGGTTTCTCGCCACCATGGTGCACTTTAAATTGTTGATATTAAATGGTTGGAAGCACTGATAGGAAACCTTAGACCATCTAGATTTCGCGGTAGTTGCCACTCAACAGCTGGTTATCTGACTTCGTTCAACAATACCTGTTTTATACTTGGAAATTTACCTTGAGTGTATAGCTACCAAACGTCGTTGTTGAGGTAATATTGAGTTTCTGATGTTATTATTGTTGAATGGAACCACAGTTCCATCAACGACTAATCGTCTTTCTGATGTCTTTGGAGAGTCTCACGACTTTGTATCTCCCAAGGAATTTTAGAAAGACCTATCTTCTGCATTGAGATCACAACGAGTCGGTTTTAGTTGCAAGACAGCCTTCTTAGATTCCAGATATATTTTTAGTAAAAGCAAAAAAGAACGATAATATCCTGATTTGATCTAGAATCAAATGCTCCGGTATAATAAAAATTGAGTTTTTCTTTACAAACAAAGCAAGTCGTTTTTAGTGTCTTTGATAAAAGAAATGACCGCAATAATAAAATAATAATGATAACAGTTCTGCTGAGTGGAATTAAACGTTGAAATTAAAATTGACCCACATATTACCATCAAGATTATTATTGCTGTCATTATCTTTCACCTCATTTCTATGTCTGTTTGTCACTAGGATGTAAATTTGAAGACAATATAAAATAGTTTAGTATAATTATTTCATTTTATCGTTGTTATTACTGAGAGGTCAAGGGCTGGTTATATTCTCAGAATGATTCATCAATTACCTACTGGTTTCACCCTTATCTGTGTGTTTAATAATAATTTGGCAGATTGAATAAAACGTTTTTTCCCAATTTTCGAGGAGTAAAATGTCCTGCAAGCAGTTGAATTAATATCAGTTAGGGTAATAAGGGAATAACGGCAGTTTAATGCCAGTCAGTACGTATTATATACACTCAGTAAAGAGTTCTCAGAGTATTCAGCTATAAAATATATTTTCAAATGAAACAGTGATCTTTGACTTGAGACTAGGCAGTGACTACTGTCATGAGTCTTATTCCATTGATTGGTGGAGATTGAATTCTATCCGTACAGTTTGCAATGTATTATTATTATTATTGTATCCTTTAATTCCTACAGGAACATAGGGCTTCAGCCGTGCGTCTCCATTGCGTTCTGTTCTCTGCTAGAGTCTTCACCTGGCTCCAAGTCTGCCCACACGTTTTCATCTCCTCTTCACATGACCTCCTCCAAGTCACCCTTGCACTGACGACCAACTCGCCGCTTCCCTTTCGGGTTCCACTCCAAAGATGCCTTCTCTAGTGATGTCACTTGATGGTTTCCTCAGAGTATGGCCAATCCATCTCCATTTCCTCCTACCTATTTGTTTCACAATCGGTTCTTGGTTGGTTCACTCATTGCCAGAGATCTCTGTTGCTGATCTTTTCTGTCCATTCATCTGATCTTGAGTATTGAGCGAAGACAACTGTTAAATGAAGGTCTGTAGTTTGTTTGAGATGGTCTTTATGACGCGCCAAGTCTCTGATCCGTATAGTAGCAATGATTTCACATTAGAGTTGAAAATCCGGATCTTATTTTTGATGCTGAGCAGTGCTGTTGATCTCCACACACACTTGAGAGTAATGAAAGCTTGTCTTGCTTTTCCGATTCTTGTTTTGATATCCTCGTCAGTTCCGCCTGTAGTTGAAACGATGCTTCCCAAGTAGGTAAACGAGGTTGTTTCTTTCAGGTTCCTCCCATTTATGCTGACTTGTCAGTTGTTGTCGTTGCTATTGCCCAGGAATTTCCATCACCTCTGTTTTATCTATGTTCACCTGGAGTCCTGTCTTTGATGCTTCTTCTGCCAACTTGTTGCTTTTCGCTTGCATATCTCCCAGTTTGTGGGAAATCAGACATATATCATCGGCGAAGTCCAGATCCTCCAAGTTTTTTGTGTGAGTCCATTTTATGCCTGTTTCCTCATTGCCCACTGTTTGTCGCATTATCCAGTCTACCACAAGCAATCAGGAAAATCATTGGACATAGTAGGCAGCCAGCTTGTCTTACTCCTGTCCTCACTTCGAAGGATTCCGTAAGTTTCCCGTTGTGGATTACTTGGCATGCAGCATTGTCGTACAGCTGTTGGATGAGATGTATAGTTGTCGGTGGCACCCCATAGTAGCGAAGTAGTTGCCAAATCACCTCTCGATCGATGCTGTCGAAGGCCTTTTCAAAGTCGATGAAGTTGAGATAGAGAGGTGACTGCCACTCTAAGCTTTGCTCAATGATGATCCGTAATGTGGCGATCTGGTCAATGCATGACTTGTTCCTCCTGAATCCAGCCTGTTTCGGTCGAAGTTTTTCATCAAGAGCATGTTTGATTCTCTCCAGGATGATGCGGCTTAGTATTTTGCTTGGGATGGATAGGAGCATAATTCCGCGCCAGCAACAAACTTGATGGCTCACCATAACTAGGTACTCTGAATTGTTGTTAACGGATGGCTGGAGACATTCGGTTTCGTTCATGTTGATAGTAGGCTAGGCGTGTTTCTGCAATGTTCAAGGAACTTATATTCCCCTCTGAGATTCGAACCAGAGTCATTCAGTGCAATAGCGAAAGCCGGTTAGTTGTGGTCCAAACTCAGGGAACCGATCTTCACGTTGTACTGTTTATCTGACAAAGCATTCTTGAGACACTCACTGTCCAAAGTCGCTCCAGGGACAATAAGCAGATGGACGTTCATGGTTCGGATTTACATGTGGTTCTAACCATCAGTAATAATATCAAAAACTCAAAATTATCTCAACAGTGCCGTTAAGCAACACTTTACAGTAACGGTAACTTTCTTAGCACAAAAAAAGTGTTGTGGAACAAGGCTGGTTAACAAAAATTCAACTGTAGGAGTTACCTTAGAATCAAGTAGAATATTTTCAACAAGGCTAAATCAAAACTCTCACCACAAGAATTACACCAACATAAGAATGATCTCCTCCTACTCAAATAAAATCATATTCGAAAACAACACATTATGAGTATCATCTCACAGACACTAAGAGAAGCACTGAAACTACAGAATGGACGAGGAAAATGACAAATACCAAAGATCAAGTCAACATATGATGCGAAAATTTTAGAACGACGATATGCAGTTTGGGATGAAAATGGATAACAATTACGAAGGTATTTAGAATGTATAAATAAGTAACATCGAAAATAG